GGCTTTGCACAGAGCAGCCCTGATCCTCTATGGGTCCCCCCGCCGGAATCTCTGGCTCCTCCCTCCTGCCGGGGGCCCCCATAGCAAGTTGCTTGCTAAGCGGGTAACTTGTGCATTCTTGCTCCCGAGCCAACTCTGCGTGTCCATAAGACATTCAGAGCATGGCTTGGCCCCAATCTCTGCTCCCTCCTCACTGGCCGTGACTGATAGCAGCTGGAGCCCATGGCTCCTGCTGATGTGTCTGAACCAATGAGGAGGGAGAGAGCTGAGAGAGCCTCTGCTCCCATGCACATCGCTGGATTAAGATCAGGCTCAGGTAACTATTAGGGGGTCTGGAAGGGAGCTGCATACTGAAGGTTTTTTTTCTTCATGCATAGAGTGCATAAAGAAAATCTTCAGTCTTTAGGACCACCTTAAATTGGATATAAATCTAATCATTAAACTCACCCTAGCATTAACTATTCTTTAAAATGTTCCTTACCCCCTTCTCCTACGTATCATGCCTACCCAATGTAAAAAAGATCTTTATACTTACTTTTTTTCTGTCCAGTCTAGTTCCGTGATCATGCAGCTGTTGCTCTCCTGTGTCAGTGAGCAGTGGCTGCAGGGGAGACGAGGGACGGCCAACAACAGCTGGGCCATAGGTGCCTATGGGTGAAGTCAGGAATCTTGAAATTCCCAGCCACTGTTGAGAGCTCCATGACACAGGGAAGCTGGAGCTGCAGGATCATGTGATCAAATGGGACTGAAAAACGGTAAGTATAAAATTCTTTTTTACACGGGACAGACAGGATGGGAAGGAGGAGGAAAGGGAAATTTTTTATGAGTAATTCATGTTAGGCTTTAATTCCACTTAGTAGAATTCCTGGCTAAAACTATCTAATCTTAAAACTTCTGTCACCCCTTCCTAACACCTGTACTAACTACTAAAGATGTATATGTTTACCTATCCTCAGGGAGCGGTGGGCCGGTCACGTGATCTCCCCGGGTCAGCGAGCACTCACTACAGGGAAGAGGAGAGAATGCGCCAACAACAGCTGGAATGCCTGAGTAGTGGTATCACACATAGGCTTACTATGAGCCATATGTTGCTGGCACCCCCCTCTTCTCCCCTGAAGCCACTGCTAGCTGAGAGAGAAGAACCAATCGTGTGACTGGACCAAAGCACCCTGAGAATAGGGTAACTACAGGGTAGTTAATATAGGAGTTAGAAGGGGGGAGGGGTAGAAGTATTAAAATTTGATAGTTTTAGCCCAGAATTCAACTTTAAGCGCTCATTAAAGTAATGATCCTGCCATGAGAGTCCTTTTTCATAAACTTTCTGTTATAGGGTGACAATGTCTCCCTATTGTGCTCCTGCATTGTCAACCCGTGACATGATCCCATGATGGATAATACAAGCAGCCGTGCCAACACGCATTGTGCAGGAATAGTCCACCAATGCCACTATTTGGGAGCCACTACAGAGCAAGATACAAATAGAGAAAAAGAATAGAAAAAAACTATAGGAGTAAAAAAAAAAAAGTCATTGTTTTTGATATACTGTGCCTTAGCTAACTAAATGTTGTCCAGATGTACTTTAAATTACATCAGAATTTGTGGAATGGATACCACAGTGACGCTAGTCATCTGCGACAGGCAGTAGAAGATTGATACACCTTCTTACCATAAAGCACATGTGATTGGTGCCTGAGGCAGCAGAGGGAGCATCACCCAAGTCCAGTGGCTGCTTTGGAAGTCAGAAGACTCTGTAGAACATAGAACATATAGCCGTGTTCTCCTTCCCTGCAGGCTGCAAAACAGTAGGCTGAGGGAGTTATGTATATAAAGCATACTGCAGTCTGGTTTTAATTTTCACAACGATAAATACCATGGAGAGAAAAGGACACCCTATGTAAGGGTGTATTATTGGCCAGCCTAGGACAGCATGTATGTAAGGTATAGCTTCTGAATAGAAAACAATCATCTGCCATGTTAGAAAGGAAAAGCACTAGAAGCTTCCAGATGTTGCCAGAAAGTCAGCATAAGCAGCAGTCAGTACAGATACACCTGCACTAAAAACAGCCTGTAAAAGGCAGGGATTTATATTTCAAAGACCGACCCATAGTGTAGCTGTGAACCCAGCAGGCTGGTACTCAGCAGTTGGTCACTTTCATTTGATGACCAATTGAGAAAGCCTTGTTTTTTTGTTATGAAAACTGGCTCACCTGTCAAGAGCATAGAGACACTTACTGCTACATTGTGCTGTGGCACTTTGTGGAAAACAAATAGATCCCAAGATGCCTCTTGTCATAAAAAAGGTTGGGGCTGAAATTAAGAGATGTTTTTTGAGGGTGGGGATACAGCACCAAACACACTAGTTAGCTCAGCACTGTACATTACAATGGGAGACAGAACAATAACAATACAATACAATGCAAAACATGAGGGGATCAAGGGCCCTGCTCTTTCGAGCTTACAATCTAGGAGGGAGGGGATGGTGGCACAGGAGGAGAAAGCTGTGGGGGATGGAGTGGTAGGAAGAGTGAAGGAGGTCGGCAAGTTAGCAGGGGGTGGGGTAGGCTTCCCTGAAGAGGTGGTTTCAGGGTTTGCCTAAAGGAGAGGAGAGTAGGTGATAATCTGATGGGTTGGGGCAGGGAGTTCCAGAGGATGGGTGACACCCTGGAGAAGTCCTGGAGGCAGGCATGGGAGGAGGAGACCAGGGAACAAGAGAGACGGAGGTCTTGTGAGGAGCGGAGTGTACGTGTTGGGTGGTACTTGGATATTAGGTCGGTGCAGTATGGTGGACAGCTTTGTACGTCAGCGTTAGGATTTTGAATTTGATCCATTGCGCAATCGGAAGCCAGTGGAGGGATTGGCAGAGGGGGGGTGGCGTAAACGGAGCGGTTAGAAAGGTGAATGAGTCTGGCAGCCGTATTCAGGATCGACTGAAGCGGGGATAGCCAGCGGCGAGGCAGGCCAGTAAGGAGGGAGTTGCAGTAGTATCGTCCAGTCGTGATATGATGAGGGAGTGGATGAGCTGTTTAGTGGTTTCTGGGGTTAGGAACGTGCGTATTTTGGCAATGTTGCGGAGGTGGAGTCTGCATGAGTTTGTTAAAGATTGGACTTGGAGCTGGAAGGATAGGTTGGAGTCCAGAATGACACCAAGTACTCTGGCCTGCAGGGCAGGTTTGATGGTGGCGTTGTTGGGCATGATGGAGAAGTCAATGGGGATGGTGTGCGGACTGGTGGGAAGACAAGAAACTCAGTTTTGGAAAGGTTCAGTTTAAGGAAGTGGAGCGACATCCAGTCTGATATGTCGCTCAGTAGGTGTGTGATTCGGGCGGAGACTGAGGGGGTGAGGTGGGGGGTTGAGAGATAGATTTGTGTGTCGTTGGCATATAGGTGGTAGTTGAAGCTGTGAGAGTGTATGAGTTGGCCAAGGGAGGAGGTGTAGATGGAGAAGAGAAGGGGCCCGAGGACGGAGCCTTGAGGGACCCCAGCAGAGAGGGGGAGTGAGGGGGAGGTGGTAGCATTATAGGTAACGCTGAAAGAGCGTTGTGACAGGTACGATGAGAGCCAGGAGAGAGCAGAATCTCTGAGGCCGAGGGAGTGTAGTTTTTTGAGGAGGAGGGGGTGGTCGACTGTGTTGAAGGCTGCGGAGAGGTCAAGGAGTAGGAGCACTGAATAGTGGCCATTAGCTTTGGCGGTTAGCAGGTCATTGGAGAGTTTGAGTAAGGCAGTTTCGGTGGAGTGTAGGGGACGGAAGCCGGACTGTAGGGGATCGAGGGGGTTGTTGTCGTTGAGGTGAGAGCTTAGGCGGGTGTAGACTAGGCGCTCGAGGAGTTTATGTTTATGCCATCTCCTTCAGGCCACTGCTTCTTAGAAATATTCTTTCTTCATGCCTCCTTCATAGCCACCAGAGACTGCCCTGAGTGGCTATCTTCCGGTGCTGTATAGGTTAACAGCAGCTGTTGCGAGTGTAAAGAGCAGCTTGGGGGCCCCCTTCAGCCATCTCCACCATTCAGAGACTTCATACTATTATCTTCTCACAATGCAACACATTCTGTGAATGGGTAATGGAGATCCTGTCATTTATCTGCTCCTTCTCCATTCACAGAACAAGTTGCATTGTGGGAGAATTGTACTATGAGGTCTCTAACTGGTGAAGAGGGCAGAAGGAGGCAGGAGAGCAGCACAACTCTTCATACTAACAGGGGAGACGAGGGACAGCCAACAACAGCTGGGCCATGGGAGCCTATGGGTGAAGTCAGGACTCCCGGTATTCCCAGCCGCTGTTGAGCGCTCCATGACACAGGGGAGCTGGGTCTGCAGGATCATGTGATCAGACGGAACTGAAAAAAGGTAACTTTTTCATTTTATTTTTCACAGGATCTTTATTTTACACAGGACATGCAGGATAGGAAGGAAGAGGAAAGGGAACACTTTTACAAGTAATTAGTGTTAGGCTTTAATGCCACTTAGTAGAATTCCTGGCTAAAACTATCTAATCTTAAAACTGCTGTCACCCCTTCCTAACATCTATACTAACTGCCCTGTAGAAGAAGGATGTGTATGTTTACCTATTCTCAGGGAACTCTGTTGACCTATAGAGCACCCAAAGATAGCTGCTGAGGGCAATATCCAGCAGTTATGAAGGTGGCATAAAAGAAGGGTTTTTATCAGGTGCAGCAGCCTGCAAGAGATTGGAAGCACACCATTACACATAATTAATTAATTTTTGGTACTGTATCCCCCCCCTAAACCCAGGACCCTGAATTCACTATATCTGGTCTCCCACAGTACACAGAACATGCAAGTGCAATTATTTTAGTAATATAAACAGCTAAATTCCTTTTCTCATCAGCAGTATATAGCAATCTTATGACTAGAGATGAGCGAATTATTCAAAAATTCGATTCGGCTGATTCACCGAATTTGCGGAATAAATTCGATTCGATGCGAATTTATTCGCTGCGAATTTAACTTATTTAAATGTGTTTCTAGGCTTCAGAGGGCCTTTATATTAGTGCAGAACACTGTACCTTTAATTTAAATGCCCTTGGAGTCTGCTGAATACTGTCAGTCAGTATGACATGCAGATGAGTGCCGTCGATCTTAGAAACCGCACACTTCACTCATTTTGGGCAGTCACGGGGCCAAAACCAGAGTGTGGAGCCACAGTGTGGCGGTGGAGGCAGCAGCAATGGGAGGCCATACAGCACCCTATGACAAAATGGAACCCACCAGCAGTGTGAGGAGACCTGAAAGTGACTGGAGACAGCAGCAATGGGAGGCCGTACAGGGACCCATGACACACTCTGGACCTGGCAGCAGCTGAGGAGGCGGTTTACAGGGGCCCATGGCAGAGTGGCGAAGCGTAAGCAGCTTAAATTGAAGGCCATACAGAGGCCTATGTTAAAAAAGCAGCAGTGTGGGGAGACGACTATCAAGAGTCCAATGGCAGAGTGGCGGAGCAGAAGCAGCTTCAATTGAAGAAGAAGAGGATGAGGATGAAGAAGAAGAAGAAGAGGATGAGGATGATGAAGAAGAAGATGAGGATGAAGAAGAAGAAGAGGATGAGGATGATGAAGATGAAGAGGATGAGGATGAGGAAGTAGAAGAAGAAGAAGAGGATGAGGATGATGAAGAAGAAGAGGATGAGGATGAAGAAGAAGAAGATGAGGATGAAGAAGAAGAAGAAGAGGATGAGGATGAAGAAGAAGAAGAGGATGAGGAAGAAGAAGAAGAAGAAGAAGAAGAAGAGGATGAGGATGAGGAAGAAGAAGAAGAAGAGGATGAGGATGAAGAAGAAGAAGAAGAAGAAGAGAGATGAAGAAGAAGAAGAAGAAGATGAGGATGAATAAGAAGAAGAAGAAGAAGAAGAGGATGAAGAAGAAGAAGAAGATGAGGATGAGGATGAGGAAGAAGAAGAAGAAGAAGAGGATGAGGATGATGAAGAAGAAGAAGAAGAAGAGGATGAGGATGAAGAAGAAGAAGAAGAGGATGAGGACATGATGAAGAAGAAGAAGAGGATGAGGATGAGGATGAAGAAGAAGAAGAAGAGGATGAGGATGAAGAAGAAGAAGAAGAAGAAGATGATGATGAGGAGGATGAAGAAGAAGAGGATGAGGATGAAGAAGAAGAAGAGGAGGATGAGGATGAAGAAGAAGAAGAAGAGGATGAGGAAGAAGAAGAAGAAGAAGAAGAAGAAGAGGATGAGGATGAAGAAGAAGAAGAAGAAGAAGAGGATGAAGAAGAAGAAGATGAGGATGAAGAAGAGGATAAGGATGAAGAAGAAGAAGAAGAGGATGAGGATGAGGAGGAAGAAGAAGAAGAAGAAGAAGAAGAAGAAGAGGATGAGGGATGATGATGAAGAAGAAGAAGAGGATGAGGATGAAGAAGAGGATGAGGATGAAGAAGAAGAAGAAGAAGAAGAAGAAGAGGATGATGGTGAGGAAGAAGAAGAAGAAGAAGAAGAGGATGAGGATGATGAAGAAGAAGAAGAAGAAGAAGAAGAAGAAGAAGAGGAGGATGAGGATGAAGAAGAGGATGAGGATGAAGAAGAAGAAGAGGATGAGGATGAAGAAGAAGAGGATGAGGATGAAGAAGAGAATGAGGATGAAGAAGAGGATGAGGATGAAGAAGAAGAGGATGAGGATGAAGAAGAAGAAGAAGAAGAGGATGCGGATGAAGAAGAAGAAGAAGAGGATGAGGATGAAGAAGAAGAAGAGAAGAAGAGGATGAGGATGAAGAAGAGAAGAAGAAGAAGAAGAAGTAGGATGAAAATAAGAAGAATTCCATTCCAGCAAAAAAGTGTATCTGCAGAGAGCTCCGCTATTTCTGACAGTTCTCTGACAGTTCCTTCACATTTACAGCGGTTGAAACATTGTATCTATTTGTTTTTCGAATAAAAACATCTGTATCTTAAATGGAAACAAATAGATACAATGTTTCAACTGCTGTAAATGTGAAGGAACTGTCAGAGAACTGTCAGAAATAGCGGAGCTCTCTGCAGGGACACTTTTTTGCCGGCTGTAGAAGGGATGACCGATCGGGGAAAATTCGATTCGTGCATCCGAAGTTTGCTAATTTTCGGATTCGGCGCGAATCGAATTTTTCCTAATATTCGAAACGAATTCCACTTCGCCAAGTTCGATTCGCTCATCTTTACTTATGACTTCTATCAGTGTCCAGCAGAACACTGGTTAAAACTTGTAGGAGGAGTCTCCATTCTCCCCTGATTGTGCTATGAGGCTGCAGGACCCCTGACCCTCTGTCTGGACAGTGCTGATTGGCCCTGTGCTGATCACATGCACCCTCCCAAGAAAAAAAACTCTCTAGTAATAGACACCAAACAGAACATGTGCAGCTTGCCTCCAAGGCTCTGTTCTATCAGCAGATGGATTGGGGGCTGTGGAAGAAGGGGGGATCCTATGAGGCTGCATGACCCCTGACCCTCTGTCTGCACAGCACTGATTGGCCCTATGCTGATCACATGCACTCTCCCAAGAAAAAAAAATCTATCTAGCAATACACACCAAACTGAGAATTTGCAGCTTGACCCCAAGGCTCTGTTCTATTAGCAGATTGATTGGGGACAGTGGAAGAAGGGAAGGGTCAGAGAAGATAGGCTCAAACATCATTTTTACATTATGTGAAGGATTAACCCGTTAGGTTGCACAGTATGTATAACAAGCATGTTATACTGCATATACAGACTGATTTTACTGTTGTGGGTTTTACTAACACTTTAAGGGTTTCAGGGTTTTACAGACTTCCAAAAAAAAACCTGTTAGGTAGCTTCAGTTGGGGTGAGGAACAACTAGGGTTGCACTTTAAACACCTAATTAGCAACCTTTAGGATTTAAAATTTTATCATTAACCCTATGCACATTTTTGGGAGAGGCAGTGAGCCAGTTACAGAACAGGGGGGATGAGAATTCCAGAAATTTTCAAAAAGGCTTGTAGCAATTATATGAAAACTAATGCATCTTTTTTTATATCTTCTAACATCCTCCAATCCTCTGTATAAATACCTGTAAACACTTTACTACTTTGGTATTTTGGCATTTGCTGCAAGTTTTCAGTTGTTCAGCCCAACCATTTCTGATCCGAGATGTTAATGTTTAATGCTTCTTTGTAGTTGTTTTTTTTTTAAACACAGCATTGCCTAGGGAGACCCGGAGAGACTCCCAGACATACATTCTGCGTCTGACAAATGAATAGAAAGTCCTCACCAAGAGTGGAAAAAAACCTAGAGACATAAAAAAAGACTACTTGACATTGAGCATAATTCTTTCATTTAGTATTTCGTAGACAGCTCATTTACTGGCTACACCTACTGGCCACCATTGGCTAGTCCTTCTGTTCATTTCTCTAAAGCTGCGCAGTCTGAGATTATAGATCCGAAAACTGATGCCCTCTCCTGCAGCTAAATTAACTAGAATCACGTGGAAAACAAACCGAGCCTTGTATGAAAAGGGGGAGCCATTAACATTAGCCCGCAGCTATGGACTGCACCCAATATGACTGGAGACGTGCTCAGTGCAGATGTTGGGAGGCTGGCTCTGAGGCAAAACTCAGCTATGTTGTATAGCTACAATTAAAATCAACTCCTCTGCCAAAAAAATAAAAGGAAGGAGGGTAAAGGGAGAACATCAAAGACAGATTGAAATGTGTAGTTAGTAATAAGAGTGGTCTCCTCTTGAACTGAAGCCCTGCAGCGTTCCATGGCCCCCTTGTTAATGAGAAATCTTGACCTCTGGTTTGTAAGTTAAACTTGTAATCCCAGCTAATGAACTAAATCAATCCCAACTTCACCGCTCGCTTCCCATTTTTCTTTGCACACTGCGTGTCTGAGAGTTTGTGTCCAAATGTATAAATCTTGGAAAGAGGGGGGAAAAAAAACGTTGAAAGAAATATAGATTTATTCCAAAGAAAGACGACATTCTCTGTTTTTCAAATTGACATTTCATTAACTCCTTTCCTCTGCTGATGGGGCAAGTGAGAAAATGAGTGCACCAAAAGATTTCATACATATATATATATATATATATATAGTATATATACTGTATATTTATATATTTATACACACATGTTCTGTGTAAGAATGTATTCTAAAGTGGACCTTTCATGTTTATTATTTAATGTACGGTCCAAGTATTATTTTTTGGAAAAGCTCCAGGATTTACCATTAAAAAGCTGTCCTTAAGCTCCAGTCCAGCAACTTTGCCTAGGTTGAGATGATGTCATCAGTCTGCTGCAGGCTGGAGTAAGCATTTCCTCAGTTTCCTCTCCCCCGATAACTGTGCAAGTCTGAAAACTTTCCTGACATATCACAATATACAGCACCAGTATCATTTACTTAGAAAAGCCCTACCTTTTATAATTAAAGGAGAAGCATAGCCAAAGCTATTTTGGCTATACTTCTCCTGGAGATCACAGGAGTGCACTCCTGTGGCCCGATGTTGGCTGACTTCATAGAGCCAGTCCAGCCTGTTGAAAGATCTTGAGCTAATGTCTGGATCCATAAAGATGCCTGGACCGGGTGCTGGCTCAGCCTATCAGCAAGCCACTGGGAGACAGAGTCAGCTGCTTCTACCCCCTCCACAGCCTGGCACTCCAGTGTGCACTGGAGGGGAAGAGCAGAGAGCTGGTGACTGACAGTCACCAGCTCTCTTTTCAGAGTAGAGGTAAGAAATGAGCGATCAGCAGTGTTTGATCACTCAGTTTGAGGGACAGATGCAGCATTGGAGCGACGCTGCTATACCAAGGTGAGTATAATTTTTTTTTAAAACATACTTCTCTTTTAAAAGGCCACCCTTGAACTTCAGTGGGACTTTTGCCTCTGTTGAAATTCTGTCAGTCTAACACCTTACTCAGCATGCTGTACTTATCAAAAAAATTATATCTGATGATAGGACAGGAGGAGATGGCTGTGGGGGATGGAGTGGTGGAGGAGTGGAGGAGGTTAGTTGTTAGGTGAGGTCAGGTGTTAGGTGAGGTTGGGGTAGGCTTCCCTCTTCAGTTTCTGTAGCTGCTGACTTTTATTTTTTTACAGAGTGAGTGGAATTCCACTTTAATTCCATACTTCCAACCTTGGCTAGAAGATGATATTAGAGGTATGCTTGCCTCCTCTCTTTGTCTGCTTCTATTTGTATTCAGGAAAGCCAGTTTCGGCAGCCAGCTACCAGCTCATCTGCTGATCCTACAGCAAATACAAGAAAATGCAAAGAATGGGTAACTGCATCTACAGTACACAAAGGCTATAAAATGGGCATTGTTGGCAGGGAAGGATGCATTTTGGGAAATAAAAATGATAAGAACTGGAAAATATTGTTTGGGGGAAGGGGTGCTCTTTGGCTTTTTGCCATGGGTGCTGAAGGACCTTGTCCCTGCCCTGGCAGTAACCATT